AAAGAAAAGATGATTGTTCTGGGAGTCCGTGTGCAAACTGGCATGCAATTCAACCTTCTGAGCCAGTTTTTCCATATCGCTCCACTGCCTGAAATCCCCCAGTGCCTCCCTAGGGTTTCAGGGTTAAGTCCTGACATCATGGTCCTTTGTGATCTGACCCTCACCCCATGGGGCCCACATCAGTTCTCACATGTCCCCCACTTCTAAGGCAGCAGCTACACTTACCTGTCTGTAGTTCCCCAAGTGTCAGGCTCCCTCAGGCCTCCAAACTGTCACATTTGCCGTTGGCTTTGCTTGGTACTATTTCCTGCTTGGTTTTCAAGACTGGCTGTGGAAGGCACTTCCTCTAGGAATCCCTCCTTGATGCCCTCAGGCAGAGCTGGGGCCCCTATGTGTCCTTTCAAGGCCCTCTGAACGCCTCCATGTCAGTGACCTCTTCATTACACTGTGGTGGTTAATACTGCACTAGGCTAAGCAACTTGAGGGCCAGCAGCACTTCTTTCACTGGTGTCCTTTGCTTTGGGCACACACTAGGCAGGCAATAATACATCCTGGGCCAGGTGCGGTGGCTCACATCCATTATCCCAGCACTTTGGGAGGCTGAGGCAGGTGGATCACAAGGTCAGGAGTTCAAGACCAGCCTGGACAATATGGTGAAACCCTGCTTCTACTAAAAAAATAAAAATTAGCCAGGCGTGGTGGCAGGAACCTGTAGTCCCAGTTACTCAGGAGGCTGAGGCAGGAGAATTGCGTGGACCCAGGAGGCGGAGGTTGCAGTGAGCCGAGATTGCGCCATTGCACTCCAGCCTGGGTGACAGAGTGACACTCCATCTCAAAAAAGAAAAAGTACATCCTGAATGAGGCTCCTGAGTGCAGGGTACAGAGGGCCAGGCGATAGGGGAGACACGCTGAAGCCTGTTCTTTGCTTTGGGCAAGTGGATCATGAAGCAAATACCAAAAAGTCACATGTCAGGCTCTCCCCTCTGCCTGAATAAAGCTCACTCATTTGTCAGAGCCCACCTTCAAACTTTACCTCAAGGAAGCACCTGACCGCGGGGCCTGGGGCAAGACCTTGATTCTACTCTTATAGCACCCCACGTATCTTCTCTACAGCTTTAGTCACTATGGCAATTACTGTGAGACTGTTTAATGCAGGGTTTATCAATGACCCCATGAACATTGAACACTTGGGGCTAAATTTTTTTTTTGAGACAGGGTCTTGCTCTGTTGCATAGGCTGGAGTGCTGTGGCATGATCATGGTTCACTGCAGTCTAGACCTCCCTGGCTCAGGTGATCCTCTTACTTCAGCCTCCAAAGTAGCTGGGACTACAGGTGAATACCACCATGCCTGGCTAATGTTTGTAATTTTTTGTAGAGATGGCGTTTCACCATGTTGCCTAGGCTGAACTTGAACTCCTGGGCTCAAGTGATCCATTTGCCTTGGCTTCCCAAAGTGCTGGGATTATAGGTGTTACCGCTGCACCGGGCCTTGGGTGATTCTTTGTTGCAGGAGGCTGTTCTGTGAACTGTGGTGTGTTTAACAGCATCACTCACTCTGCCTGCTGGATGTCAGTAGCAGCCTCCTCCCCTAGCTGTGACAACCAGAAATATCCCCAGACATTGTCAAATGTCTCCTGGGGGTAAAATTGCCTCTGGCTGAGAACCACTGGTACATTGTCTCTGTCCCCAGTGAGAATGGCAGTTCTACAAGAGTGGAGACCCCATTTCCTTGTTCCTCAGGGTTCTGATGACCTCAGCCTGGCATTTACTCTTCCGTGCAGCTGATCCTCCCCATGCCCTGGACTGGGCCGCATGCTACCTGAGAAGCGAATCAAACCATTCATTCTACAGGATCCTCCTCTGTGGCCTTGTGCAGATTGAGGGCAGGGATGGCGGCCTACTGGCCTTTGCACTGCCAGTGCCCACCCAGGCTTTCCTTTCACGGTGGTCAGAAAATGATTACGAGTGGCACACATGACAGAAAAGCAGGAAGGGGGCCTCCTGGTGCTGTGAGCTGACCAGGGCAGTGATGGTCCTTCTCAACAGAGATGACTTCTACTTTCTGAAGGGGAGAGTTCAGACTTTATTGAATACCTTAAGGCTGGCCCAGGGGAAAAGTGTGGCTGGCTTCACTATCCTCCTAATAGGAAGAGGCAGCGAGAAGGGCAGTAGTCCGGGGAAGGTGAGAGCTCCGATTCAGGGGCCTGCACCCAGCCCCTGGGATCCTCCATCCCTCCCGTGTCACTCCAGCTCTTTTGGGATGATCACATGGTGAGAATCTGCTTTGAAGACACAAAGGGCTTCATGGAGGCTTCCAAGGCACGCTGGTAGTCCTGCAGTGGGACCTGGGAGCAGGCAGGGGCTGTGAGCTGGCCTTGGCGGATGAGATCGCACAGTGTGAGGATCAGCTCCTTGAACTGGTCTGTGGGAGGTTGGAGGAAATCAGACAGGGGAACAGCAGCTGGGGCTTGGTGAGATGTGGCAAGGGCTGCCCTATGGGCAGGAGCTGGCACCAAGCTCCAATAAAGCCTTGAGAGTCCTGGCTGTGCCAAGGATAGGGTGGCTGTGGCTGCGTGCAGCCTGGTCCCTGCCTGTCTTTAGGACAATGAGGTCCAGGTGGGGAGAGAGGAACGTAGGAGTAGCTCTAGGGCCTGATGGGCAGGCAGGCAGAGACCACTCTTCAGAGTGGTGGCTATGACAGCACAGAACCACAGAACCTGGCCACGGTGGAGCCAGGAGCACTGAATGATGGGAGAAGCAGGATGAACTGAGGCAAGGAAGCCAGAGGAGGTGCAGGGAGGGAGTGGGTATGCATGGCACACCAAAGTGATGTGGAACAGATGAGCTCTGCTCAGGGAAAGCAGCTCTCCCTGAGAGCCCAGGACTCCCTTAACCCAGGGCCACCAACGTCACCTCCCTGGGCCTGCCTCCTCTGAAGGACCCTATACGGTATAGAAGTCGAGAAGTGAAGGCCTTGGCTGAGAAGTATTTTTCCATTTAAAGAAGTAACTTTAAGAGTGAGTCCTGGACAGGCGCGGTGGCTCACGCCTGTAATTCCAGCACTTTGGGAGGCTGAGGCGGGTGGATTACCTGAGGTCGGGAGTTCGAGACCAGCCTTACCAGCATGGAGAAACCCCGTCTCTACTGAAAATACAAAAAACTAGCCAGGCGTGATGGCTCATGCCTATAATCCCAGCTACTTGGGAGGCTGTGGCTTGAACCTGGGAAGCGGAGGTTGCAGTGAGCTGAGATCACGTCATTGTACTCCAGCCTGGGCAGTAAGAGTGAAACTCTTGTTTTTTTTTTTTTTTTTTTTTTTTTTTTTTTTTAAAAAAAAGCAAGTCCTGGCTGGATGTGGTGGCTCATGCCTGTAATTTCAGCACTTTGGGAGGCCAAGGCAGGTGGATCATCTGAAGTTGGGAGTTCGAGATCAACCTGACTAACATGGAGAAACTCCATCTCTATTAAAACTACAAAATTAGATGGGCATGGTGGTGCATGCCTGTAATCCCAGCTTCCTGGGAGGGTGAGGCAGGAGGTGGAGATTGTGGTAAGCCAAGATCAAACCATCACACTCCAGCCTGGGCAACAAGAGTGACTCCGTCTCAAAAAAAAAAAAGAGAGTGTAATCCCAGCACTTTGGGAGGCTGAGGCGGGTGGATCACGAGGTCGAGAGATCGAGACCATCCTGGTCAACATGGTGAAACCCCGTCTCTACTAAAAATACAAAAAACTAACTGGGCGTGGTGGTGCGTGCCTGTAATCCCAGCTACTTAGGAGGCTGAGGCAGGAGAATTGCCTGAGCCCAGGAGGCGGAGGTTGCGGTGAGCCGAGATCGCGCCATTGCACTCCAGCCTGGGTAACAAGAGCAAAACTCCGTCTCAAAAAAAAAAAAAAAAAAAAAAAAGAGTGAGTCTTGGCTGGACACAGTGGCTCATGCCTATAATCCCAGCACTCTGGGAGGCTGAGGCGGGTGTATCACTTGAGCCCAGGAGTTTGAGACCAGCCTGGGCAATATGATGAAACCCCATCGCTACTAAAAATAAAAAAAAACTAGCTTGATGTGATGGTGCTCCCCCTAGCTACTTGGGAGGCTGAGGTGGGAGGATGACCTGAGTCAAGGAAGTTGAGGCTGTTTGAGCTGTGACTGCACCACTGTACTCCAGCCAGGGCAACAGAGTCATACTTTGTCTCAAAAAAAACCCAACCACCAAAACAGCAAAAAAACACCCCAGTGAGTCTGAATGCCTGAATCTGGTTTCTAAGGCCTTTGGTAACCTGGTCACAACCCACTCATCCCATTTCCCAGCCCCAGCTCAGATCTAGCGCTCCAGGTTGCTTGGAACCACTTTAGTGCCCAGCTGCACATGCAATTTTGGGTTTTTTTTGCCTGAAACGCTGCATTCACATCACCACCTTCCTCCCCTTCACCTGGGTAACTCTGTAGTACTGTCCATCCTGAGTTTGGCGTTGCTACTCTGGGGAGCCAGTCCTCCAGGAGACAAAGAACAGGGAGATGATCTGTTCACATCCTGGCTGCCTCCCTCCCTGCGGGGCGGCGACTTTGTCCATGTTACTTAACCACTCTGAACCTCAATTTCCTCCTCTGTCAAACACACCTAACAAGAGTTTAAACTTATGACATTTAAACTGAGGCAGAGATTAAGTAACTCGCGAAGGTCCCACCGCTGGGTAGGCAGAACCTCTGTCCAGTAGTGTGGAAGCAGGATTTGAACCCAGGCAGGCTGGCTCCAGAGTCTATTCTCTTGACTGTCTTTCCCCACTGTCAGCTCTTCAGGAGCTGTTCTGTGCCTTCAAGACTAACCCAGTTTAGTCCAATAATTATTTGCTGACTGTAGCTGGGCTAAGGCTCTTCTCCTTGATCCTTCTGTGGGGCTGGGGACCCAGTCACCCCTCCAGGGTTCAGAATAGCTAGTCATTTCTGCCGCCCTTCTTAGGCGCTGCCCTCATCTGTGACTGCACTGGGCCATGCACTTACCTGGACTGTGATCCTTCTTCCACTGGGACAACCAAAAGCCCCGAAGTTTGAGATCCTTAAAAATGAGCAGGCTCTGTGGATACAGAAAAGACATGCTGGGCTCTGAGGGCAAGAACTCCAGGCACCGTTCAAGTGTACTGACTCCCCTCCAGGGACGAGGCATTGCCTAAGTTTAGACAGCTGTCATGCCAGGGGATGTGGCCTGGCTGAGGTGTCTGGCCCGGCTGCAGGCATGCCTCCCCGACCAGCTTACCACAGAGGCTATGACGGGTTGCTTGGCCATTCCCCCATAGGTTACCATGGTTCCTCCACGCCTAAAGAGTCCAAAGAGAACAAAGAGTGGGTGCAAAGCAGAGACAGAGCCTTCCTGAACCCACCATGGTGCTTCTACTCCAGCTCTGGTTCCTAAACCCTGCTCTCAGAATCTCTGGGAAGAGCTGAAAAAAATACAGACTCTGGGCTGGGTGCGGTGGCTCATGCCTATAATCTCAGCACTTTGGGAGGTTGAGGCAGGCAGATCACTTGAGCCCAGGAGTTCAAGATCAGCTTGGGCAACATAAGGAGACCCTGTTTCTACAAAAAAAAAAAAAAAACAACAAAAAATTAGCCGGGCAAGGTGGCATGCCTATGGTTCCAGCTTCTTGGGAGGATAAGGTGGGAGAATCACCTAAGCCCATGAAATTGAGGTCCTGATCGCACTACTGCACTCCAGCCTAGGCAACAGAGTAAGACCCTATCTCAGAAAATAAATAAATACATAAATGCTGGGCATGGCAGCTCATGCCTGTAATACCAGTGCTTTGGGAGGGCAAGGCAGGAGGATTGCCTGAGCCCAGGAGTTCGTGACCAGCCTGGGCAAGATAGTGAGACTCTGTGTCTACAAATAATTAAAAAGAATTAGCTGGGCATGGTGGTACATGCCTGTGGTCCCACTCAGGATGCTGAGGTGGGAGGATCACTTGAGCCTGGGAGGTTAAGGCTGCAATGAGCTGAGATTGCACCACTGCACTCCAGCCTAGGCAACAGAGTAAGATCATCTTAATACAAAACAAAACAATAAAACAGATTCCTAGGTCCAACCCCAGACCCAGTGAATCAGGAGACAAGAATGTATATTAAACACCCACATATACACATACCCTCTGGATGACTTGGATGTTTAGCCAGCGTGGGGATCCACTGATCTAACCCGCCAAGTCAGGCTCTGATTAAGTGCTGCAAAGAAACCTGCTCTCCCGAGACTGAGCTCGAGGCCTGAGTTCAGCCCTAGCTCTGTTCTCACAGATGTCTGACTTTGGGCAATGCAGTGAAAATGGTCTAGACCAGGCATCCCCAAACTTTTTACACAGGGGGCCGGTTCACTGTCCCTCAGACCGTTGGAGGGCCGCCACATACTGTGCTCCTCTCACTGACCACCAATGAGAGAGGTGCCTCTTCCTGAAGTTTGGCGGGGGCCGGATAAATGGCCTCAGGGGGCCGCAGTTTGGGGATGCCTGGTCTAGACTTATTCTAAGAATCAACGTGAGGAAAGAGCTGTATAGACAAGGAGTGATGTGGACAGAGCAGTGTCCTGTCCCTCCACTGCCAAGTGTCCCCTACTGCAGGAGGCGCCTTCTCAGTACCTGCTTTCTGACACCCACACCCCCACTTCAGCTGACACACAGGAGTGAGGCTAATCTAATTTTTAAGTGAATAAGCCGGGAGTTCCCATGCTTGACTTAACCTATGTTCCCCTTCCCACTCTCTGGCTCTTCTAGGAGTCTGTTGTTCAAAGGACAACCTCAGGCACATTTTGGGACAAAACACGGCAGACTTTGAAAACTACCAAATGGCAGGAGCTGCTGTTCTGGCGCAGGTACTTCTGTCCCTGAGGCTGCTGGGTAGCTTGGTCTTTTTTTTTTTTTTATTTTGAGACGGAGTTTCGCTCTTGTTACCCAGGCTGGAGTGCAATGGCGCGATCTCGGCTCACCGCAACCTCCGCCTCCTGGGTTCAGGCAATTCTCCTGCCTCAGCCTCCTTAGTAGCTGGGATTACAGGCACGCGCCACCATGCCCAGCTAATTTTTTGTATTTTTAGTAGAGACGGGGTTTCACCATGTTGACCAGGTTGGTCTCGATCTCTCGACCTTGTGATCTACCCGCCTCGGCCTCCCAAAGTGCTGGGATTACAGGCTTGAGCCACCGCGCCCGGCCGGTAGCTTGGTCTTAAGTGCCCCTCGACTGCCACCTGCTTGTAGAAAGTGGCTCCTGGGAGCCAAGCCCCCTCTCCTCGGTATCCCCACTGCACGTGATCTAATTGGACGAGCTAACACTCACTGGGCTTCTACTACGTGCCAGCTCAGTTCGAAGCATTTTGCATGTACTGCCTCAGGGATTCCTCGTAACAACCTTGCTTTAGAGATGAGAAAACCGAAAACCATCCCTCATTTGTATAGCAATTAGTATAACACCTCGGTGTCCTTTAGACCGGCGGTCCCTAACCTTGTTGGCACCAGGACCAGTTTTGTGGGAGACAATTTTTCCATGGACCTGGAGGCGGGGAATGGCTTTGGGATGAATCTGTTCCACCTCAGATCCTCAGGCAGTAGCTTCTCGTAAGGAGTGCAGGACCTCGATCCCTGGCACTGCGCAGTTCACAGTAGGGATCACACACCTGTGAGAATCGAATACTGCCACTGATTTGTCAGGAGGCAGAGCTCAGGCGGTCATGCCCGCTCACCCAGCGCTCACCTCCTGCTGTGTGACGGGGTTCCTAACAGGCCATGAACTGGTACTAGTCTGTGGCCAGGAAGTTGAGGACCCCTGCATCAGACCACTCTCCAAAGGCAGAGAGTTTACATAACCCCCATTTTACAGATGAATAGATGGAGGCCCGGATTGTTTTTCACGTTATTGCTTAACTTTTCATAGGTCCTCCTGCTGAGCAGTCTAGGGAGAAAGAATAAAAAGAAGAAAAAGAAAGTAAAAAAACTTTTCATAGGTCCGCAGCTAGTAAGTCACAGAGCTGGGGCTTGAACCCCGCCATTCTGACTCCAGTGCCTACACCCGTTACCACTGCAGAACACTTCCACCTGCAATGACGTTGGGACTGGGGTCTGCCACAGGGGCTGTCTGGTGTAGGGCTGAAGCGGTGTGCTCAAATGTGGGGTCAAGCCTGGCTCTCCTGCTGACTAGACTTGGGGCCAGGTCCTTGACCTCTTTGGGCTTTTGTTTCTTTTTTGGGGACAGTCTCGTTCTGTTGCCCAGGCTAGAGTGCGGTGGCGCGATCTTGGCTCACTGCAACCTCTGCCTCCTGGGTTCAAGTGATTCTCCTGCCTCAGCCTCTGGAGTAGCTGAGAGTACAGGCACGCACCACCAAGCCTGGCTAATTTTTGTAATTTTAGTAGAGATGGGGTTTCACCATATTAACCAGGCCGGTCTCAAACTCCTGACCTTGTGATCCACCCGCCTCAGCCTCCCAAAGTGCTGGGATTACAGGTGTGAGCTACTGAGCCCAGCCTTTTTTTTTTTTTTTTTTTTTTTGGAGACAGGGTTTTGCTCTTGTTGCCCAGGCTAGACTGCAATGATGTAATCTCGGCTCACTGCAACCTCTGCCTCCTGAGTTCAAAGGATTCTCCTGCTTCAGCCTCCCAAGTAGCTGGGATTACAGGCGCCCACCATCAAGCCTGGCTATTATCTGGATTTTTGGTAGAGAGGAGGTTTCACCATGTTGGCCAGGCTGTTCTAGAACTCTTGACCTCAGGTGATCCACTCACCTCGGCCTCCCAAAGTGCAACGATTACAGGTGTGAGCCACCATGCCCGGCCTGAGCCTCAATCTTTTAAAGTATAAAACAGAGATTAGAACTGTACCCCTTGCCTAGGTGAGTCAAGCACTGTACACCGTCTGGTGCACGGTGAATGCTCACCATGTGACTCACCTGCTCATCTGGCCTGCGAGTTCTCAGAGGGCACATCAGTGTCGCAGCCCTCTCTCTGCCTGGTAGCTAGTAAGTGCTCAGCAAGTATGTGCTAGCTGAATCCATGCCACTAAGGGGGGGTTCCTGCTTCAGTTAGAAAGTGTCTTCTTACACACACTCTAGCTCAAGAAGTTTACATTAAAGGAAAGAGGAATGGAAGGACATGCATTGTTAATATTGTCAACAGGTTTATCCCCCTTGGTGGTGGGTGATAGGTAACTTTTTTTTTTTTTTTAAGATGGAGTTTTGCTCTTGTTGCCCAGGCTGGAGTGCAATGGTGCCATCTTGGCTCACTGCAACCTCTGTCTCCCAGGTTCAAGCAATTCTCCTGCCTTAGCCTCCCAAGTAGCTGGGATTACAGGCATGCACCACTACACCCAGCTAATTTTTGTATTTTCAGTATAGACAGGGTTTCACCATATTGGTCAGGCTGGTCTCGAACTTCTGACCTCATGGTCCACTCACCTTGGCCTCCCAAAGTGCTGGCATTACAGGTGTGAGCCACCATGCCCGGCCTACCTTTTTTTTTTTTTTTTTGAGGAGTCTCCCTCTGTCACCCAGGCTATAGTAGAGTGGTGTAATCTCGGCTCACTGAAACCCCCACCTCCTGGAGTCAAACAATTCTTGTGCCTCATCCTTCTGAGGAGCTGGGATTACAGGTGTGTACCGCCATGCCTGGCTAAATTGTTTTGTATTTTTAGTAGAGACAGGGTTCCGCTATGTTGGCCAGGCTGCTCTCAAACTCCTGGCCTCAAATGATCTGCCCGTCTTGTTGGGATTACAGGCGAGAACCACCATGCCTGGCCAGGTAACTTAAAAAAAATTAAAAATTTTTTTATATTGATGGGGTCTCACTGTTATCCAGGCTGGTCTCAAACTCCTGGCCTCAAGTAATGCTGGGATCACAGGTATGCGCCACCATGCCCAGCTAATTTTTGTATTTTTAGTAGAGATGGGGTTTTACCATGTTGGCCAGGCTGGTCTTGAACTCCTGACCTCAGGTGATCCACCTACCTTGGCCTCCAGAGGGCCAGGATTACAGGCGTGAGCCACCATACTGGCCACAATGGGTAACTTTTATGCTTAAGTTTTCCTTTGCGCTTTTACACGTTTTCAAAATGTTTTGTAATAAACATAACGTTACCTTTAAAATTAGAATCTATTTTAAAGGCTAATACAAATTTTGAAAGGGAAAGCTAGGACTAAGTGACTTTTTCAGACACCCTTAGGTTATAAATCCTTGATGGCAGACAGCTTAGCAGTCTACTTCTGGGTCCCTTGGAAAAATAATGCTGGAGAGAACTTTTGGTCATTCACAGAGGATGGAGGCTGAGAAGGCAGTGCCCAAATAGCTGGATGACTTTGGTCCTGGTTTCCACTCTGCACTGTGCTGACCTGGCCTTGGCTCGAACCGGCCACTGGGACTCGGTCACTTGATGTTCCTCCCAGCTAAAGACTTGGAGAGCTCTGGCAAACTGGACCTGCAGGGCCGAGGGACTTACGCTAAGTGCCGCAGCAGCTCTGTGGAGCTTTTCCCACCGACACAGTTGAGAGCAAGGCGTGGTTGGGGCATGTCCTGGAAAGCAACAAATGTGCAGTGAGGGAGCGGCCCCTCTACTATGGTGTCTGACCTTGCTACAAACAGCACCTCCCTTGCCCAAGTGCCGTGTTAGAAGCGGGGAGGAAATAAAATGAGATGTTTATGTCTTTGTGTGTGCATGCATGCATCTCTGGTGTGTGTGTTTATACCTCTGAACCCACCTTTTTCTCTGCTTAGGAAGGGTCTTTTCTTTCTTTTTTCTTTTTCTTCCTAAGACAGGGTCTCGCTCTGTTACCCAGGCTAGAGTGCAGTGGTGCAATCACGGCTCACTGCTACCTCAACCTCCTGGGCTCAAGCAATCCTCCCACCTCAGCCTCCCGAGTAGCTGGGACTGCAGATGTCTATCATGACGCGTGGCTAATTAAAAAAAAATTTTTTTTTTTGGGTAGAGATAGAGTTCTCATTATGTCGCTCAGGCTAGTCTCAAACTCTCAGACTTAAGCAATCCTTCTGCCTTGGCCTCCCGAAGTGTTGGGATTACAGGTGTGTGAGGCCCCCTCATCTGGCCAAGAAGGGCCTTTTCTCTAGCAACTTAATCCTGTTGTTCATTTCAGAACCTGGTAGAACTCATCTTCTCTGGGAAAGAAAGGCAAAGAGATCCGCATGCAGTCTGCTGGGCTTCAGCTCCCTGCGTGCCCTGCTTTTCAGTCCTTGTGACTCGGTTGATATTATATATACTGATCTACTGCTGCGGAAATGTTTGCAAGAAGCGCGTGCTCTTGAGTATGTGTCTTTGGTTCCTTCAGATGGTTCAGTGAAAAGGGCTGAGGGTTTGGTCACTTACTAGGCTTGTTGTGGGGAGGAGGTTCGGGAAAGTTAAGAGCCTTTTGAGTTCAGAGACTGAGGCCAGCTCTGACTCTACCCCTTATAAACGATATGATTTTGGCCAAGCACTTCATCTTTTCTGAGTCCTAGTTTCCTCACCGATCAAACAAACAACAGCTCCTTGAAAGAGCGTTTGTGGAAACTGTCAGATAAAATGTAAGGCAGACAGTTACTTCTTTTCTTCTCTTCTCTTTCTGTGTCTCTGTGTCCTCAGGTCCTCTCCTGCCAGTTCTAAGAGTCACACATGTGGGCTGATGTGGCCCACGGCAAACGTTTAAAGCTGCAAGTCATACTGGGTTTCCTAAGCTCTGTCTGTTTCTCGTGCCTCCCTCCCAGCATCTGGGCACTGAATGCATGCTGCCTGCCGATGGCTAGGGGTAATGGGCTTCCACTGACCGAGAAGAGGCAAAGGGAGGTTTCCAGAGAGGAACAATGGGGCCAGTCCCCAGCTTCTCTAATGCATGTCAACTTTCTTTAGGGAGACGTGCATGGACTGGAGGGGCAATCTCCCTCTTCCCAGGTACCTTAAACAAGTTTTTCATTTCGGGCCTTCTTAGCTCCTCTTCTGTGATGACATGCTCAGCCCCCAGACTCTTCAGTCTGTCAGTCAGCTTCTGGATATCAGGTCTGGAAAGCAAACATAGTCCCCAGGGTCCCTGGTCACTTCTGCCAGCTTTTCCCACCAAAGTCTCCCAGGACCCCTCTGCTACAGCTGGGAGAACCCATGCTTTTTTTTTTTTTTTTTTTTTTTTTGCAGGCAGCTGAGATTAGGTTTAAGATGGGCTTGAGCAGGGACCAGCCACCTAATTTCATCTGGCTTCAATAGCTCCTGGCTGCCTCCTCACTGGAAACAGAGTGAGACTGGGTGGTTTCCACAGCCCCTGACAGCTCAACAGTGCTAGAAGCCATCTGTGCCCAGGAGGAAGTCACGTAACTTCCTGATTTCTTCTACTGAAAAGACAAACTCCACTTCCTCCCTCTTTTCCAGGGGCTCTTCAGAGGGTTGTGCAAACACACTCGGCCCGGGAGTGGCACTGGACCTCTTTGGTTAAGGCAAACGGAATGATTTTTTTTTTTTTTTTTGAGTTGCGGTGTCACTCTGTCGCCCAGGCTAGAGTGCAGTGGTGTGATCTTGGCTCACTGCAACTTCCGCCTCCCGGGTTCAAGCGGTTTTCCTGCCTCAGCCTCCTGAGTGGCTAGGACTACGGGTGTGTGCCAGCACGCCTGGCTAACTTTTTGTATTTTTAGTAGAGACAGGGTTTCACTGTGATAGCCAGGATGGTCTTGATCTTTTGACCTTGTGATCTGCCCGCCTTGGTCTCCCAAAGTGACGGGATTACAGGCGTGAGTCACTGGGCCCGGCCAAGGAATGATTTTTGTTAGTACAACTGAGGAACTAAAGCTGATGTCAATTACACTAGGACTGGGCTTCCTGACAGCCACCGCCACATTCATGGACAGTGAGGCCTAGAGAAACTGGATGATGTGATGGAAAGAGATTAAGTGAGGACTCCGATCCTGTCACTGACTTGCTGTGTCTGTCGGAGCAAGCTGCTCTCTGAAACCTGTTTCCTCATCCGTGAAAGACAGAGGACAAACCTGGCCCGTCTCCTTCATGTCTATATTTAGTGCACTTCCAAGTACCACTCAAAAGCAAGGGTAAAGGGTGCCTTGGGGTAGACAGTTCACAGAAAGAATAATACAGCTCAAAACATTCCCAAATATGAACTGGGGTTTTGAAAACATGAGGTGATGATAAGCCAAGAGTCTCAAAAAGTCCTAGCTGTTCAGTAAGGGCAGTCTCCACCTCCTTCCTGCTCTCTCTTTACATTTCAGATTTACTCATCCTGTCGCCAAAAGCCAGCTGGACTTCATTTCTTGGGGCTGACTCATCTGTTTCAGCCGCCAACTCTGTTAGTGAATCCTAAGGCCAGTTGATGCTTACGCAAGGGCGCCCTCTGGTGGAGAGGTGGGCACCGCAGGGATGGAAGGTGGAAAGGCCCAAGTCGTGGTCTGGGATGAAGCCTCCTCCCCACGCACCTGTCTCGGACCACATTGATGGTTCTCAGGTCCAGAGCTGCGGCGATCTGGATGACCGCTTGGCCCACTCCACTGTTGGATGCATTCTGGATGACAGAATCCCCTGTGGAGCCAGGAAGAGACCCAAGTCAAGCCCCGTATAGCTTTGCAATAGGTCAAGGGCTCCCAGTCGGGGATCCTACTGTCGGCAAGAGATTGGAGTCCTCAGGCTCAGAAGAGACCCAGGACCTGGCTGCTGAGTCTTCTCAGACATTTCACTGATTCTCATGGTTTCCCTAATGCCCCGTAACCTTCTTTTTTTTTTTTTTTTTTTGAGACAGTGTCTCATTCTGTTGCCCAGGCTGGAGTGCAATGGCACAATCTCAGCTCACTGCAACCTCTGCCTCCCGGGTTCAAGCGATTCTTCGGCCTCAGCCTCCCGAGTAGCTAGGATTATAGGCGCGTGCCACCACGCCCAGCTAATTTTTGTATTTGTAGTAGAGACAGGGATTCACCATGCTGGTTAGGCTGGTCTCAAACTCCTGACCTCGTGATCCACCTGCCTCGGCCTCCCAAAGTGCTAGGATTACAGGCGTGAGCCACCACACTCGGCAGCTTCCTAAACTTCCACAACACTCACGATGCCTCCCAGGACTTGGCAACTCAGCATCTACACTGGACATAACTTGGACCCTGCCCTGCCGTGTAAGATTTTATAGCCTTCATCATCCTCCCAACTTTTTTTTCTTTTTTTTTTTTTTTGAGACAGAGTTTCACTCTTGTTACCCAGGCTGGAGTGCAATGGCGTGATCTCAGCTTACCGCAACCTCTGCCTCCTGGGTTTAAGCAATTCTCCTACCTCAGCTTCCTGAGTAGCTGGAACTACAGACTGCACCACCATGCCTAGCTAATTTTTTTTTTTGTATTTTTAGTAGAGACAGAGTTTCACCATGTTGACCAGGATGGTCTCAATCTCTTGACCAAGTGATCCACCCGCCTCGACCTCCCAGAGTGCTGGGATTACAGGTGTGAGCCACCACGCCCAGCCCTCCCAACTTTTATGTCCTCAAGTTTGCTTAGGTTATTTCCTTGGTTTGCAATGTTTCCCTCTTTCTCTCTTCCTTCCTACTGAAATCCTTTAGATCTTCTGAAGCACAGCTCACGTGCAGCCTTCATGAAGCCTTCCTGGATTGTTCCCTCTATGTGCTCCCACTGTGCTCTGTGGGGCTCTCTATTAATGCACTTACCATGGTCTGTCCCATCTTTACACTTTGTTGTATATAGGTGCATTTCTATCAGCAGCTTGGAGCTTCTCGAGAGGGAAGGGACATGCCCTATTCCCCTCCGCAGTGTTTAATCAAGGCGCACTGCCTTGAAATGGGATTAGAGCTGCTCTGGAAAAACTGGCAGCCCCTGAAACAGGGTCCTACAGTTTTGTGGCAAAGCCCAGGTCTCGCTTCGGACCTGGCCACGGGGGAAGGCAGTGTGGCATGCTGGGAAAAATGTGGGCTGGGCTTTGGAACGAGACGGACCTGGGCGTGAGTCTGTTTCACCAACGATTGCAACTAAACGGATGGGACAAGTCATGACCTGTGAACTTCAGTTTCCTTCCCTTAAAATGGCAGTCCTGGGAGCACCAAAGACGGTGCCCCTGATTAGAGTCAGATGGATCGGGGCCGGGAAAGTGCTTTGTTGACTTTGAAATACTGTCTGGTTTTTGAAAGACAGCAGGGATGTGTCACACAATGGGCTGGAACTAGATAGAGGACTTCCTAGAAGAAGAATGCCCATTCTTCTTCACCAGGAGTCAATATACAGGTTGTCACCCACCAGTGGATTATGAATCAATCTAGTTGATTGCAAGCAGCAGTTTTTTTCTGAGACATAGTTTTGCTCTTGTTGCCCAGGCTGGAGTGCAATGGTGTGATCTTGGCTGACTGCAACCTCCACCTCCCGGGTTCAAGCGATTCTCGTGCCACACCTCCTGAATAGTTGGGATTACAGGCACCCACCACTGCGCCCGGCTAATTTTTGTATTTTTAGTGGAGATGAGGTTTCACCATGCTCGTTAGGCTGGTCTTGAACTTCTCACTTTAGGTGATCTGCCTGCCTCTGCCTCTCAAAGTACTGGGATTATAGGCGTGAGCCACTGCGTCTGGCTGCAGCATTTTTTTTTAAAAGTTGAAATTGAGAAGAGAATAAAATATAACAGAGTATGTCACACATAGTAAGGGTATTTCATGAAACTTTGGTTTCCTTTATATATGTATATTCCCATTTGTATAAACTGATCACAATGTAAAATGTATTTCTTACCATGTGTCAAGATGCTAAGTTTATTCAACATTGATGTAGCTCGTGTCGAATCAGCCTTGAATTAGTGAAGTGGAGAGATGCGCAGTAGGGGCTCAGGGTGGACAGCGTTGAAATGCCTAGATCTGTCTACCACAGCTGCAGCCCAAATGGGAGGTGGCTTCAGGGAATGGGATGCAGGCAAACAAAGCGTCTGCTGCACTAGGACTCCAGCAATGGTCCCTGGTCACAGCCACTGGCTTTTTCCACCAAAGACTCCCAGGGCCCCTCTAACACAGTTCTGAGAAACCTGTATTTCTCATTGTGGGAGCTGGCATCGGCTTTCAGCCAGGCCTTGGCCAGTGGCTGGGCACCAAGTTTCATCACACTCTAACAGCTTTTTGCCTGTTTCCTTACTGGCACAAGAGGTGGCTTGGGTGATTTCTACAGTCACTGTGGCTCATGGATATGCACGGTGTGCAGAGGCAGCCCAGGGGGTTAATGCCCTTAGGGCAACCCTTAAACAGGGGGCATGAGAATTAGTGGAAAACTGGCCCAGCCTCCCATCATTCAAGGGTTCTTTTTTTTGTTTGTTTTTTGTTTTTTGAGATGGCGTCTCGCTCTGTGGTCCAGGCTGGAGTGCAGTGGCATGATCTATGCTTACCGCCACCTAGCCTTGCCCAGCCTTGAGGGTTAATTCTGTGGTGGGGTCTATGGGAGTCTTCAGAGGGCCCTCAGCAAGACTAAGCAGGCTGGGCGCTGTGGCTCACGCCTGTAATCCCAGCACTTTGGGAGGCTGGGGTGGGCGGATCACAAGGTCAGGAGTTCGAGGCCAGCCTGGCCAATAGAGCAAAAGCGTGTCTCTACTAAAAATACAAAAATTAGCCAGGCATGGTGGCAGGCGCCTGTAGTCCCCAGCTATTTGGGAGGCTAAGGCAGAATCGCTTGAACCTGGGAGGCAGAGGTTGCAGTGAGCCGAGATTGAACCACTGCGCTCCAGCCTGGTGACAGAGCGAGACTCCGTCTCAAAAACTAGACTGAGAGTAGTTGCCCGCAGCAGTAACTGGGCTTCATAAGCTTTGCCGCCATCTCTCTCTGGCTCTCCCCACTCCCCTTCATTTCTGCTTCTCAAACAAACTGTCTGTACCCAGTCCGAGTCTTTGGCTCTGCTTTCAGGGAAGCTCAAATAAAACACTTGGCTAGCTGATCTCATGCAAATAGTTTACCTTTCTCGACTTCAGCTTCCCCATTTATGAAAAGAAAGAAGTGTAAAAGCAGTGGAAAGTCTCTGCACTGTTTGCTCAGCACTGTGTTCAGTGTTACACTGCAGTCTTTCACCCTCCATGCTCTTTATCTCTGTTTTACACAAGAAAAATCTGATGATTTGAGAGGCAAATTCACAGTCAGTGAAAGGTGCAGCCTGGGGTCAGACCCAGGTTGTCTGTCCAGAGCTTGAGCTCTTAACCAATGAGGATACCAACCTCACCGCACTGCTTTGAAGATTTAATGCACTCAATGGGAATAATGCCTGCAAAGGCACTTATGTGAACTGGAACGTGCTATGTAAATGCTGAATGGAATTATTAACACTAAGTTCAGCGTTTTACTGAAAACACAGGGACTGTATCTATCTTGTCTGGCTTTGTATCCCCAGAGCTTAGCACAGCTCAACGCATTTTTGCTGAATGAGAGAATTCAATCCCAAGCTCTAGAGAATGTGACCCTGTTGCAGTTTTCAAGAGTGTATTCCTCATGAGGTTTCAGCATGTTTTCTAGGAACCAAGCTAACATCTTTCTAAGTGAAAGCAACAACATTCACCCAGGTTAGAGGTCCACTGCCCCCTCACTCCCCTTCATCTGGCAAGTTCTCCTGGCCTTGAGGTCAGGATTTGGGTGGCACCCCAGTTGGGAGACCCTGGCCTGCTCCGCTAACCTGTGGGTTCCTACCTGGCTGCAGCTGCTCGAAGTCCATCAACATCCTGTAGGCTGTGCAGGGATTGACACCCAGGGTGGCAGCGCTCTCAAGAGGGATGTCATTCGGAACTTGGATCAGTGCTTCTTCGCTGAACACGGCCTCGGTCCGCCAGGTTCCTGAGTCACGGGATGAAGCCAGGATCATAAGGAAGGAGCCCCTGTGCACATTCAACCCCAGCTCACCCTCTCTGATGAATGGGCATCCAGGATAGGGGACTTCAAGTAATGCTTAGAAAAAGAAGAAAATTTGGACGTTCCTCTGAATGTCTGAGACTTCATGATAATTCCGCAAAATAGACTGTTATTCTTTTTTGTTTTTTGGAGACAAAGTCTTGCTCCATAGCCCAGGGTGTAGTGCAATGGTGTGATCTTGGCTCACTCCAACTTCCGCCTCCTGGGTTCAAGAGATTCTCATAGCGCAGCCCCTTGAGTAGCCGGGATTACAGGTGTGCACCTCTGTACCTGTCTAATTTATGTATTTTTAGTGGAGACAGGGCTTTGCCTTGTTGATAGGCTGGCCTTGAACTCCCGGCCTCGGGTGATCCTCCCACCTTAGCCTCCCAAAGCGCTGGGATTACGCATGTAAGCCACTATGCCCAACCCAAAATAGGTAATCTTATCTTAAACTATCTTACTACTACTCTTTATCGTCATTTGACACAAGAAAAATCTCATGATTTGAGAGGCGAATTCAGTCAGTGAAAGGTGCAGCCTGGGGTCAGCCCCAGGTTGCCTGCCCAGAGCTTGAGCTCTTAACCAATGAGGTTACCAACCTCACCGCACTGCTTTGAACATTTAAAAATTTACATGTAGTAAAAATGGAGTGTGGTAGCTCACGCCTATCATATCAGCACTTTGGGAGGCCAAGGCGGGAGGACCACTTGAGGCCAGGTGCTCAGGACCAGCCTGGGCAACACAGTGAGACCTTTTCTCTACAAAAAATTAAAAAGAAAAAATTAGCTGGGCATAATGGATTCTCCTGCAGTCCTGGCTTCTCATGAGGCTGAGGTAGGAGGATTGCTCGAGCCCAGTAATTCGAAGACACAGTGAGCTATGATTGCGTGACTGCACTCCAGCCTGGGTGACACAGCAAGACCCTGCCTCAAAAAAAAAAAAAAAAAAAAAAACACCTCAAAAAACAAAAAACAAACCAAAACAAAAAATTCCAAATGCCATTGTATGGGTGATTCAGAGAGGTTGCTTCTCTGAGTTACCATTAGATATAGCTAATGTCACAGTGCAGGTAGTTAATGACCTCAAACTGCTGCAATCTAATGGTAAGATACTAGTAACATTACCACCAGGGCAGGAGAAGCTGAGAAAATCCCCTTTCCCTATACAGTCTTCATTCGTCTCAACCAGGGCAGGCTGACTCAGGTGGTTTTAGGGAACAAAGCAAGAAAGTAGAAATCAGCTGGGTGCAGTGGCTCACGCCTGTAATTCCAGCACTTTGGGAGGCCAAGGCAGGTGAATCACAAGGTCAGGAGAGTGAGACCATCCTGGCTAACATAGTGAAACCCCCGTCTCTCCTAAAAATACAAAAATTAGCTGGGTGTGGTGGCATGAGCCTGTAATCCCAGCTACTCGGGAGGCTGAGGCCGGAGAATCACTTGAACCCGGGAGGTGGAGGTTGCAGTGAGCCAAGATTGCACCACTGCACACTCCAGCCTCGGTGACAGAGCAAGACTCTGTCTCAAAGAAAAAAAAAGAAAAAAAGAAAAGAAAAGAAAAGAAAAAAAGGCAGGCGCAGTGGCTCATGCCTGTAATCCCAGCACTTTGGGAGGCCGAGGCGAGTGGATCACCAGGTCAAGAGATCGAGACCATCCTGGCCAACATGGTGAAACCCCGTCTCTACTAAAAATACAAAAATTAACTGGGCGTGGTGGTGCGTGCCTGTAGTCCCAGCTACTTGGGAGGCTGAGGCAGGAGAATTGCCTGAACCTGGGAGGCGGAGGTTGAGTGAGCTGAGATTGTGCCACTGTACTCCAGCCTGGCACCTGGTGACAAAGCGAAACTCTGTCTCAAAAAAAAAAAAAAAAAAAAAGAAAAAAGAAAAAAAGAAAGTAGAAGTCAAGGGTACAGGTGGTTTTGCTATTCTGCTGGTTCGAGAAAATTCCTGTCACTGAGTTTCAGTTACTCTGATGTGTAAGCGGTATAGGCAAGAACAGCCTGACTGGCCTCCTCCAGGAGCTACTGTAGAAATCAAATGAGATGAGGAAATGAAAAAATTCTGTAAGCTGGAAAGAAATTTAACATTCCAGTTCCAGACAAAAGAATTCTAGAACGTCAGTACTGAGAAGGCCCTTATCCAGCATTGACTTTGAACCCCTCATGCAATAAGGGAGGAAATGAGGAAGTGACTTGCCCAGAACCCCCTGGCTTATCTGGGCAGAGCTGGAGTTAGAACCTGGGTATCTGGGCTGCCTTCCTTCCATCTACAGATATTTGTCTCGCAGCCAGGCACTTGAACACAGACATGTCCCTTACATTCTAGTGGAGTTGAACAGGTCGAAAACAAAGTAGGCTTATGTCTGTGGTTCCAGCTACTCGGGAGGCTGAGTCAAGAGAATCGCTTGAACCTAGGAGGTGGAGGTTGCAGTGAGCCATGATCACGCCACTGCACTCCAGGCTGGGTGACAGTGAGACTCAGTTTCAAAAGAAAAAAAATGATAATGATAAATTATAAAGAGACAGTAACAGCAAATGGAAGTCAAGGATACTTCTCTGGGGAGGTGACAGGCTAAGAGTGAAAGGATAGAGGTGCTACCCACTCAGAGCACACAAAGAAGACTGTAGGCAGGGGATGCAGCTAATGCAGATGCTGGAGCAGGACAGACACAGGACTGGGACGGGACAACTGCATGGCAGGGCAGAGAGTGATGGGAAGAGCAGTCTGAGATATGCTGGTCTAGCTGATGCGGCAGAGGCTGGGCAGGCGATGTTAACTTTCAGAATCCTGACCCACAGTCATCATGGGTTCCACTGTGAATTCGTACATATACATACATGAATGTAATACAAGCCTGTGTTTCACAGAATACTTACCCTTACTATGTGTGAGGTACTCTGCTACTTTTTGTTCTTTTGTGCTCAACTTTAATTTTAAAAAGTGCTGGCCAGGAGCAGTGGCTCATGCACATAATCCCAGCACTTTGGGAGGCTGAGGTGGGCAGATCACCTGAGGTCAGGAGCTCCAGACCAGCCTGACCAACAAAGAGAAACTCCCACCTCTACTAAAAATACAAAAATTAGCCAGGTGTCAGGGTGTGGTGGCTCGTGCCTATATTCCCAGCACTTTGGGAGACCGAGGTGGATGGATCACAAGGTCAGGAGTTTGAGACTGGCCTGGCCAACATAGTGAAAGCCTGTATCTACTGAAAACACAAAAATTAGCTGGGTGTGGCGGCATGCACCTGTAGTCCCAGCTTCTCGAGAGGCTAAGTCAGGAGAATCATTTGGATCTGGGAGGCGGAGGTTGCAGTGAGCCAAGACCGTGCCATTGTGCTCCAGCCTGGGTGACAGAGCAAGACTCTGTCTTAAAAATAAAAATTAAAAAAAAAAAAAAATTAGCTGGGTGTGTTGGTGTATGCTTGTAATCCCAGCTGCTTGGGAGTCTGAGGCAGGAGAATCGCTTGAACCCAGGACGGGGAGGTTGCAGTGAGCGGAGACCACACCATTGCACTCCAGCCTGGGCAACAAGAGTGAGATTCCGTTTCAAAAAAAAAAAAAGTGCTATTTGCAACTCACTAGATTGATTTCTCGAATGGGTTACAACCTGCGGTACAAAAACACGACCTGGGCACCGTGGTATGGAGGGCTGATCTTGTTTTAGTGAATGAGTGAGGGAGAAGCCTCTAACAAGCTTTAAGAGGAGGCTGAGATGATCTGATGTCTGCTTTAAGATCACTTTATTGCTGGGTGAAGACAGTGGGGTGGGAAGGGGAGGCATGGAAGTGGGAGGTCTTTGCGGGGGTTGAGGTGTGAGATGATGGCTGCCTAGATGGGATTTTGGCAGTGCGGATAAGGAAGATGGATTCCAGTTCTGTTTTAAAGATACAATCAATAGGATTTGGTGAGGACTGGGTGAAGGGTCTGCAGTCACGCAGGCAGGACCTTGTATGAAGAGGTGAAGAGGGTAGGCCTAGGAGTCAGGCAGAGACTCCAGCCTCGGTTCCACTGTGTCCTCACTATATCACCTTAGGGAAATTACCTGGAGCCTTGTTGGCTCAGTGTCTGGCCACTGTGGCAGGTCGCAGCCCTTGGCTTATGCTTCCAAAGCTCTCAGGTGTGCCTGCTCACTATCCAGTTGCTGGGATTCTTTTTTTTTTTTTGAGACGGAGTTTCGCTCTTGTTACCCAGGCTGGAGCGCAATGGCGCGATCTCAGCTCACCGCAACCTCCGCCTCCTGGGTTCAGGCAATTCTCCTGCCTCAGCCTCCAGATAGCTGGAATTACAGGCACGTGCCACCATGCCCAGCTAATGTTTTGTATTTTTAGTAGAGACGGGGTTTCACCATGTTGACCAGGATGGTCTCGATCTCTTGACCTCGTGATCCACCCGCCTCAGCCTCCCAAAGTGCTGGGATTACAGGCTTGAGCCACCGCACCTGGCCTCAGTTGCTGGGATTCTAATGGTGTCCTGGTCCTATGTGGGTCAGTTGTGGGAAGCAGGGGGCAGCGTGGGTAATCACTAATGGTGCTACAGGAAATGGGGATGTCAATGTGAGCTTTAGGGACCAGGAACTGGAGATGGGAGGCAGGAACACTTTTTATCAAAGGCTGTATCAATCCTAGAGTGGGTCTATGGCTGAGAAAATAAGACTGAAAAGGCGAAGGATCCCTGTGGAATCCAGAAGTACCCCAGCATCCTGTGGGCTTCCCCCAGACTGGTGTTCAGGTCATTGTTCCCATTCACCTCAGCTAACATTTCCTGCACTCTACCCCACACAAATGCTTAGTGCAGGGCTTTCCATGTATGATATCCAGGGTCTTTCCTAATTCCCCATATGGCACGACAATGGAAATCCAGCCCTTGATATGGATTTCCGGGGCTTAGGAGTCCCTAATCCTTTTTTCAAGAGACTCTGGGTGGGAGCGGGGCAGCACCCATGGTCAGAG